AGTGAGTAAGATTCTAATAGTTTTATAATGATTATGTAATCAATTGAACTGCTTCTAAATTTAAACTATTATTGCTAATTAATAATAAAATATAAATTAATGTAAATTAATAATTATTATACAAATATAATTAAAATAAATTAAGAAATGTTAAATACAATTATAAAAAATAGATAATTAAAAAATAAAAAGATTAATTAATTACTTTAGATATAGCTTTAAACTGTTCATTTTATGAAGTTTTTCTAAAGATGTAGCAATATATTTAGCACCTGCTAATTTTAAATTATTGTCACTAATTAATTAATAAACAAAATAAAATAAAAAATATTTAATAAAAAAAATAATAAATATATTTATTAGAAATAACTTAAAGAAAAAACAAACTTTCACTAAATTTTATTTATATATTAATATTTTGACAAGTATATATATATACTTGTTACATATTGATCTATTAATTAATTTATATATTATAAATAATTTAAAAATAAAATAAAATTAATTAATTAAATACTCTAAATTTAAATCTACATTTAAATTCTTTTAAATTAGAAAAAATATTTTATAAACAATAATATTAATATTAAAATAATCAATTACTTAAGACCTAAATCTAATTATGTAAGACTTTAAGATTTTCCTAAGAATTATGCAAGATATTTTGCTGATTCTTCATTTAAATTATTTGAACTAACAAATAAATTAATTAATTAAATTAATTTTAAAAATGAAAAATGTAAAATATAAATAGTAAAAAAAATTATATCAAATATAAAAAAATAATGACTTAAGACCAAGAGCTAACTGAGTGAGATTCTAACAATTTTATAATGATTATGTAATCAATTAAACTGCTTCTAAATTTAAACCATTATTGCTAATTAATAATAAAATAAAATAATTTAAATTTCGAATAATAATACAAAAAAAAATGAAAGTAAATTAAGAAATATTAAAAATAAATTTAAAAAATAGATAAAATGTAAGAAAATTAAAAAATAAAAAGATTAATTAATTACAATAGATATAGTTTTAAACTACTCATTTGATGACATTTTTATAAAGATTTAGAAATTTATTTAACACCTTCTAATTTGAAATTATTCTGGCTAATTAATAATAAAATAAAATCAAAAAAGATTTAATAAAAAATAATAATAAATAAATAAGAAATAATTTAAAAGTAAATATAATAAAATTAATTCAATACTTTAAATTTAAAAATAGACTTGAGATATTCTAACACTTTTCTAAAGCATCAGCTATTTATTTAAGTTATTCATTTTGAATATTTTTGTTCCTGATTAATAAATAAATTAATAAATAAGTAAGTAAGTACGAGTTAGGTTTAATATTTAAACAAATAATAAAAATTGAAAAATATTATCTTTAAAAATGAGAAATTTCTAAGTATAATCATACATCATAAAAAATAATACTAAGAACTAATTGACTTTAAAATAGATAATATGATGATAATATTAAAATCTAAAAAAAGTTTATTTTCATTTTCCAATAAAAATTGAAAAATTTTGAATAAATTAACAATAAATTGTAAAATAAAAATGATAAAGGATTATTTATTTTAATTAGTAATTTTACTAAGCTAAATAAAATTTTGTTTTTATCTTAAGATACTATTTAACTCCAAATATTATAAATATTCGGTTTCTTGACATGTTTATTAAAAAAATAAAAAATTTTTTAAAAGTAGACTGACTCACTTACCCTTTTGCATACAATATAGTTTACTAAATTAAACAGATAAAATTAGAAAAAAATATTCTCATAAATTTGTGAGTGGGTAAGGTAAAAATTTAAAATAAATACCCTGTTTTTTTCCTAAATATTTTTTGTGTAAAAATTTAAATAATAAATAACACTTTTCAAAATATGAAAATAAAATAATGAATATTTTTAGGGAAAGAAAGATAGATTTTTAATATCAGAGGTACTAATTTTTATATTTAAGTTATTTCATTTTAAAATCTTAATTTACCCTTAAAATACTTAAGAATAATAAATTAATTTTCGTTTTAAATTTTATCTAAGTTTTTAGAACAAAAAATATGATTTTTTGTTAAATTTAATTTCTCATTTTCATTTCTGAATTTAAATAAAAAATAATTAAATTAAATTACCATAAATCAATTTCTATATTTTAGAAATTTTAAATATTGCTAAGATCTTCAAGTGAGAATACCTACAAAATATCCCTATTTTCTTAAGCTATTGAAAAATCGTTAATTTAATTGATAAGCTGAATAATTTAATCCTTTATTTAATTTTGAGATACCAAATCCACTTTATAACTTTAAAGTGTTCTAAGAGAATTAAGCATTTATTCCTTATAAACATTTTGTTTTTCAAGGTTTTCTTTTACAATTAGAGAAAATGCTTGATTTTAATTGTGAAAATCTTTGTATTAATTGAGTATGATATCTTTAAGTTTTTCTTTTTAGCAAATTCTATTGTATAAATCCAATGGATATTCAAAGCTATCGTATCTCATTTCAATATTCATTAATGAATCTTTTTCTTTCTTGTCAATCAGTAAATTAATTTCGTCTCTTAAAAGTTTGTAGAAAACTTAAACATTTTGAATGCTTTACTTTATTAATTCCTCTTTTTTAGGTATTTGCATAAGCTACTCATAGATCTCAGTGTCATCTAATATGGGCCATCCTTTAAATAAGGTTGATTAGTTGCTATCAAGTACTTATTTCAGAGGAAGAAATTTAAAAGTTTGTTCTGAAAGACAATATAGGCACCTGAGCATTTGTTGGTTAGAGTAGTTATCTACTTTCAAGATATCCAACCTTTGATTATGTAAGTTGCATTTTTAGTTATAATGTTTCATGATAAATAATTCATTTTAATCATAACCTAACATTTAGCAATTTTAAATTTGATCCATTTTATCTTTCTTAAAAACAGCTTTCTCTTTTTTTTCTTCAAAAAGATATTTTTTAATTAATTAATTAATTATTATAAGATTAAAAGAAGTTTTTTCCTTTTTAAATTAAAAAGAAAAAAATAAAAGTGTTTTATTTTATTTGAAATTAAATTTTGAATAATAAGAAACTGTCAGAATTTTATTTAATTAAAATAGATAGATAAGTGAAATAGAAAAATGAAAATGTTAATCAAACTAATAAATTCTTAATTAACAAAATCCAAATCTTCTATATTCTGAATTTCTTATTTTCTAGATATTTTAAGACTATTTCCATAGTTTTTAAAAATGAGTAGGATTGACAACAAAAAATATCAATAATATAAAAAAAACTATTCATCATATTAAAAAATGTAAATAATACTTTTATAAAAGTTATGAAATATAAAATTTTAACTTTAAGTTTTCCATTGGTATATTAATTTATAGAATTACTCAATTAAAATTAATTAAAATAAATATTCAATAAAAATTAATTAAAATAAAAGTGTAGCAAATAAAAAGATTTAGCTAATAAAAAAGAAGGAAAATAAAAAGTAATTAATGAGCTAAACCCATAATTTCGGAAATTACAAAGGTAAAAACTTTAAAAAATATAAAATTAAATTATTAAATAAAATGAAAGGTGAGGAAATAAATTAAATTGTGATTATATATTATTTGTAGACCAGTCTTGGCACTTATTGAATTGAATTGAATTTATAGAATTCGAATCCTGCAAATTCTACTCGTTTCTAGATATAATTAGAAAAATATTTAGCTATACAATAGATTGTCTTGATCTACTTACTTTTTAATAAATTTTTTTGTGGTAATAAGTATTTCATTTATATTATTATTCTATCATTAAAATTTTATTTCTACGAGTCTTCTGATCTTAAATACTTTTTATTTGATTCTTATTTTTTCTAAAAATAACAAACTTTTTTATTATTAAAACAATTATTTTAAATTTTTGTCTTGTTCTTAAGAATAAAATATTTTTAAGTTTTAGAAACATCTCAAAATGCATACTTAAATAAAAATTCTTAAATAATTATAAAATTACTTTAGGATTAGCACCTTTATATTTTTACAGTTGATTAATTCCCTTAATATTAGCAGTTTGTTATCAAGTCTAAAATTAAAAATTTTGCTTTAATAAATTTATAAAATATTAATTACTTGAATTTAAGTTCCAAAGATAATAATTTTGGCAAACCTGACAGACATTAACCAAATTTTAAGTATCCTTCATCACTTATATTTTAGTTACTTTAATTAAATTTATAATATTTATTTTTTTATTTTTATTTAAATATTATTCATAACTATCAATTAATTATTTTATTTAAATTTAAATTTACTAAAAAAATTTTTATTAAAATTAAAATTATAAATTTTATATTATGAGAAATTTGAATATAATCTAAATGCTCGTTAATTAAAGCATTTTTTTCTAAAATTTTTTTTCCATGATGGTGTGTTCATCTTATATGTAAAAAAAAATTAAATGAAGATTAAATGTTTGATAAATAAAACTATCAGGTAAGGTTCGAAACTTGCTTCAAAACCTTTTTTAATTTCTTTTTAATTATTTTTATTTATATTAAATAATATTTATTGTCTATGAAGTTTATATTTGTTACTCAAGAAATAATTATTTGAGAATAGCTTTTTTTGATTATAATACTTTTTTGTAATATTGCAACTGTAAATAAAAATGAATTAATATTTGTTTTAAATTTGGTGCTTATTTTTATTTTTCGACCTTGATAAAATTGTACATTTTATATACAAACATATTTTCTAGATCAAATAATTTGTTATTTTTAAATTTGAAGAAATTATTTGATTCTTCGTTGTGATTCAAATAATAAATCAATTTAAATTAATAGCCTTTTTCTACTATAAAATATTTTTTATTTTTATTTTATTAATTTAATTTGAATAGTTGCTTAAAAAATAAATTAGTCAAATTTACAATAAGCTAATTGATAATCTTGTGATGAGAATACAGCTACTTAAACACGTAGCAATACTAATTAAGCCTTAGTTTCCAATTTCATTAAAACTTTAAAAAAAAATAAATAAGTTTATTATAAAAATTATTTATATTAAAATATGTAATGGTAATTTAAATGATTTTGTTATTAATTTATAATTAAAAATTTACTCAATGTAAAGTTATAGACTAGTAAGATTCTTTTGATTGATTAACGCTAAACCAATAGATTTAGCTCCTTCATCACTGATTTTATTCTCACTTTTATTGTAGAAAATAAAAAAACTTTTAATTTTTAATTTAAAAAATTATAAAATGAAATATAGCTATCGCTAAAAAATTTAAATAAAGTTAGAGAAAGAAATTTACTATAATCCAAGTGTTAAAGATGTGATTAGATTACAATTACTTAAACTTACTGCTATACTTTATGTACCAATATCACCAATACAATTTTAGCTTTTATAAAACAAACATAAAGAATTAATTTTCTAAATATTTGTTGTTAAAAAATTAACCTAATCCATAATTCTAATTTAGTTAGATACATTAATGAATTTAATGATAAACTAATTAAATTAACTCCATCATCGCTTATTTTATTTTTTCTATTATTAAAAGGATGAGTTAATAAAATGACTCTTAAATTTTGCTTATTTAATAAACTAAAGAAATTCAGTAAAAATTTACTCTAATTATAAAATTAAGCTAACAACATTTTTGCATTTACACAGAGCTGTCGTAATTTCTTTCAAACTCTCAAAGTCTAGATTTTAATTACTATTATTGATAAAAATATTTCTAAAACAAAAGATATTTTAAATTTGCTTATTTTTATTGAATAAAATTAATCATATTATTTAAAACAAATTAAGAATTCTTAAATTACAATAAGTTTTTTAAAAATTTATTAATTAATTAAAAAATTAAATTAATTATTTCTCTCTAAAAACTTTCAATTTTTCGAATGTTTAATAAAAAAATAAATATACTTTGGAAATTTAATTCAATTTTGCTTTGATATCAAAAAATGATTAATTATTTTACAATAGATCAATTTCTAGATCTGAATGTGATGCTAAGTATGAGCTTAGAAACTAATAAATTAAAAAAAATAAATAAGTAAATTTAAAAAGAATTATTTGATCAATTACTTCATCTTTATCTTTGAATACTTATTTTTATATTATCATTTTTTATCTATATTAAATATTTTTTTAAGAAAACAAAAATTTAATTAATTATTAACTTAGACATTAAAATAAATTGAATTTTTTAATAAAAATGCAGTTTTATTATTATCATAAATAATAAAATTAATAAAAATGAACAAATCCATTTCAATAAATTTTTAAAAATCCTTGTTTGTACTTGAAATTAATTTTTTTTTCAAATATTCAAAAAATTAAATGATTGAATAAAATATGAAAGCAAAAAAAGGAAACTAAAGAAATATTCTTGAGAATCAACCCATTTCAAACGTAATAATTATTAACCATTTAAGTATATACAAAGCCACTTACAGATAAAATGTACAAAAAAATTAAAAATGTACATTTTTATGTTGGGAGTTTGTTTAAAATCTAAAATTTATGATTTATTTATTTATTATTTTTATATGTTTTAAATAAACATTATTGAATCTATTTTTGTAAAATAAATTTACATTTAAGAAATTCATTTAATTAAATTAGAAAATAATTTGATTTCAATAAAATAAATATTTTGTAAGAATTAAATAAAATTCTGGGAATAGCAATATAAAAAACTTTTTTTAAAGAATTTTTAATAAAATTGAATAAAATATGAAAGCAAAAAAAGGAAACTAAAGAAATATTCTTAAGAATCAACCCATTTCAAACGTAATAATTATTAACCATTTAAGTATATACAAAGCCACTTACAGATAAAATGTACAAAAAAATTAAAAATGTATATTTTTTATGTTGGGAGTTTGTTTAAAATCTAAAATTTATGATTTATTTATTTATTATTTTTATATGTTTTAAATAAATATTGTTGAATCTATTTTTGTAAAATAAATTTACATTTAAGGAATTCATTTAATTAAATTAGAAAATAATTTGTATTAAATAAAATATAAATTTTGTAAGAATTAAATAAAATTCTGGGAATAGCAATATAAAAAACTTTTTTTAAAGAATTTTTAATAAAATTGAATAAAATACATGAAACAAACTACAAAATAATAGTTTTCTAAATAAAATAAATGGAAATTAGTTTTTAAAGCTTATTTGTTTATTATAAAATTAATGATAATTATTTTTTCAATAGTCATTGATATTTAATTAGACTAATCTTTTTATTTTAAGTGCTTTTGTCTTATGTTCAATCTTTTCTCTCTTTGTCTTACATTCGCTATAAATTTAAATATTTTTTGTTTTATAAAAATTATAAATATTATTGATAAAAATAAACAATTTTCTTTTCAATAAAAATAAAAGACGAAAAATTTATAAAAATTAAAAAAAAGATAGGTAATTAATCAGTTTTAGATTATTTTAATAGCAAAAATATAAACATTAAATTATATAATTACTAAATGTTTAGAGTAAGCACCTTTATATTTTTACAGTTGAGAATATCTCTTGATTTTAATAGCTTCTCAGATTAGCTAAATATAAATGAAGATATTAATATATATATTTTATGCTATAGAAAATAATACCTAAATGAAAATTCTAAATTTAATAAGCTGGGCATCATATTAAGATATTCATTAAATTTTAAATATCCTTCATCACTAATATAGTTATCACTATTTATTTTATTTTTATTTTCATTAAAAATAAATCAAATTTTGCTTTAATTAATAAAAAATTAAAACTAACTTTTGAATTAAAATTTATTTTAAATACTTTTAATTTTTATTATAAAATTTAATATCTTTTTTGAATTTTTATAAGTTAAATATTTTATTAAGAAATATAAATAAATGTTAATACTATAAGCTAAGCTATAAAGATTCTAAATGAGTGCAAATACTCAAACTATTCGCTATGCTTAATATACCTATGTCATCAATTTTATTTCCTCTTTTTTATATTAAAAAATACTTCGCAATTTAAACATTAAATGTTGTTGTATTTTTACAATTATTTTTAAAGTAATCTATCAATAATATTTGTAAATAAAATTTTTTGAAATTTAGATAAATAAATTACTTTAACCATAATTCTAATTTAGTTAGACTCTTCAAGTTCTTTAAAGCTTCTCCAATTGATTATGCACCATCATTCCCTATTTCATTCTAGCTTTTATTATTAATTGTTTTTGTCAATTATAAATTCATGTTTTTAAATATTAGAATAATATTAATTTTAATTAATTAAATCTACTGTAAGATAAGTGCTAAGATTTTGATTTAAGTACTTTTACTCAAACCTCTAGCTATGCTAGAAACTCCTTGATTACCAATTTTATTCTCTCTTTTTAAAACACAAAATTTAGATCAAATTAATTTTTATTTTAATTTTTTGATAAGTTAATATAAGTAAAGAATAATTTTAATACTTTAGTTTAATCAAAAAATATCTTTTGAATAAAATAATAGTTAAAAATTTTTTTAATTTATCTCAAAAAATGGAGTAATTATTACTATAACTATAAATCAAGATAAATTAGTTTCTTAAATTCACTTAAAGCTTAACCTAATCCAATAGCTCCTTCATCACTAATTTTATTTTCACTTATATTAGATTAAAAATTTACTTAATATATTTTGCAAGTTTTTCAAACAAGTTTTTAAGAAAAGCTTGTAACTTCATAAATCAAAGATAGAAGTAAAAATATTTATTTTTGTTTGAATTTTATAAGTAAATGTACCTCAATCTAATATTCAAACTTATCAATTAATTGCCTAGACTTTGTAAGGAGTTGCAAAATGTTAATGTTTCCTCATCTTTAATCTTATTTTTTCTTGTATTTATTCAATTTTTAATATAAATTTTGTTTTTAAATTATTTTTTATTATCAACAAACAAATCAAATTTTTATATGCAAAATATTACCCTCTCTTTTTTATATTGTTGCTACATATAAAAAATAATTTTTTAAAAGACAAATTCAGTGGGGTATTTTTACATTTTAAAAATTATTTTTTATATTTATTTAATAAGAACGAATTAATTTTTACCCAAATAATAATTCTAATTATTAAATGCTTTTGACTTGACTGATAACCTCTACCAATTAAGATGCTAATTTTGAATCAATTTTGTTTCCACTTTTTAATGTAAAAAAATACAAATTAATAATTTTTTATAGTAAAATAAAATTTTCACTAAAAGTCTATCAATAATTATTTTAGCATTGTGCATTTTTTAAAGAAAACTCCTAAAATTTAAACTCCTGAAAGAGAGATTCTGTTATAACTACAAAAATTATTTAATAAATTAAATTAGAATTTAAAATATTCCTAACTATTTTTTAAAAAAATTTAGAAAGTTAATAAGAAACAGTTATAGAATGAAAAGTAAAATAGTTAAAAATTAATTTTGTTTACCTTAAATTGAGCTTTAAATTATCCATATTTTTAAATCCAGGTAAGTCTCCAAATAATAATTTTATTTGATCATCTTAAACATGCCAACAACTATTATAAAATATTTACTTTTTATAAAAGTTGAAAACAATAAAGTATTCATACGCAATATCTAAATTTAAAGTTTTGATTTCTGTGCATTCAGCAAATTTAGAAGATATTTAAACAATATCTTAATCACAATTAATATGTTCACTTTTATATTCCAAAAAGTAATTAAATTTCATTTATTTTAAACAGCAAATAAAAATAAAAAGATTTTTAATTCTTACTAAAGCTCAAAATTAACATGGATTAAAGTCTTAGAGTTAGCTTTAAGAAACTTTTTACAAATAAAAAGTAATATTTAAATGATCATTAAATCAAAATTATGAATACATCTTCAATTTTGTTAAAGATACTTTCTTATTATTCCATTCTTTTTTTTTTCTCACTAATTTGATTAGTTTTTAATCTTAAATTAAAAAAGTAATTATACAATGTTAAATTTAATTAATTTATTTAAAGATACTTTTTACATATTAATTTATACTACAATTTTTATTTATTTTATATTTTATTACCACTCAAAAAGAATAATTAAAAGAATAAAATATAAATTTTAAATGATGTCAAATAAATGATCAATTTTTATATAAATTTGATAAACTTATAGCAAAATACTTATTTAAATCTTATTTTATAAAATTATATTTTTTGAAAAATTTTGGTTTTAAAATTATTTTTTCTCTACAAACAAATTAATTAATTAACAAATTTAATTTTTAATCACATTTATTATTTATTTTTTGTTTAAATTATGAACTTGGCTTACAAGTTACAGAGTTTTATTCTACTTTAAATAACGGAATAGAATTTTTATTTACTATTTTACAAATTGAAATATAAATTTTGATTAAATTATAATGTAAAACAATATTTATTAATTTTATCTACTAAACAATTATTTTCTAAAGGAGAAAGAATTATTTTAACTAGAATGGCAATAATATACTCAAAATTAATTTTAAGAGATGCTTTATGAAACTGAAAAAAATTTAAAAGTGTAGATTTTGAAGTGCAAAAGAGAAATGGTTGGTTTTCTCCTAATTCAAAATATCAAATATATAAGATGTTATTATTAGTATAGATAATTAATATTGAAAATTGTTAAGAGGTAAAACAAAAATAGAGGAATAAAAAGATATTTAAAAAGATTTATAAAATTAAATCGGTATGAAAAGAGAATTAAAGTACTTGAATATAAAATAGTATTGCTAGATTCAAAATTTATTTCGATAATATTCAATAAAAAAAAGCTTTATTAACTTTTTTCTGTAAATTAATCATTTCTCTTTAGAAAAAAAAAGAAAATCTCTTAATAAATCTATATAATCATAGAATAAGAAAAAAACATCAATAATCTTAGTGTATTTGTAGATGAATTCAGTAGCAATTATAAGAATGCATTAAATTTCCTTAAATATTAACAAATTAAACTTAAGTAATTAACTTCAAATATTAAAAATGAGCTATTTTAATCATTCATTATATTTTATAAAAATCTTAAAATCAGATTAGATAGAAGATGAATGATCAATTTTTAAATTTAGTCTCAAAGTCAAAATAAAAAATACATTGATTAAAATAATTAAAATATTTCTTAAACAATAAAAAAACAACAAAATCTATTGAAGAGTAAAAAAAGACAGAGTAAAAAATAAACTCTCTTAAAGAATTTATTAAAATCACTCACTTTATGGTACTAAAGATAAGGAAGAAAAGAGATTTACATTTTAAAAATAATATATTTTAGAAGATCAAGAAGAGGATTTAAAAAATTAAAAAGAGGAAAAACTAGATAGAAAACATAAAAGTTACTTTATAAGTTTTTAATAGCATAAATTTAATTAGTTATCATATTGTTAAAATTAAAAATTATTAAATATGAAAAAACAAACAAAACCAATTCAGTATAATGGAAGAATAAATATTAAAATAAGAAAAAAGATATTAATTAAATAGCAAAATAAAAAGTGAAACACTATTTATTTAAATTTTTAAAATAATTTTTAATTCAAAATTAATGATATTTAGTTAGTTATTTATTGCTATTTGCTGCATATTTTTTCTGTCGCTAAGAAGCTACAAGTAAAATATAAATAAAAAATAAATCAATTTACTAATTTTTAATTTTTATGTTATTTTATTTTAATAATTTATTTGTTTACTTTTTAATTTTAAGTAAATTATTTTAATTTTAATTTAATTTTATTGAAATTAAAAATTATTTTTAATTTTTAAAAAAAGCTAAAATTAATTAAAAATTTAATAGAAAAATGATAAAGATTGGTATAAATTAAAATTATTAATATTATTAATTAATTAATTAAATTCTATTATATAATTATTTATTTTTATATAAATAATTTTCAAATGAATCAGCCATTCAAAAAAATAGTGATATCAACGGATTTTCGGATTTAAAATTTAGAAATGGATTTTATTGGATTAAATGAGGCGATCTATTAGCTAGCTATATATGCACAAATTTAGTATTAAATAAAAAAAATATTTGCTTTATAAAGATAGATAGATAGATAGATAGATAAATAGATAAATAGATAAATATGTTTGAAAAATGTGTTTAATCTTTGTATGATCAAAGATAAGGTATTTTTAAAATGAAAAAAATAAATATTCTAACAAAAAAACATGATAGGATTAATTAGCCTATACCTTATTGATATTGAATTTATTAAAAGGAAACATAATAAAAACAAAAAATATTCTTTAATTCATTATAATTAATTAATAATTTTGTTAATTTAATTAAATTAATAGGGAAAAGAATAATTAATTAAAGCTTAGAAAAATAAGGTAGATCTAATGGAGTAAATCAGCTAAAATTAGTAGCAACTTCAAATGACAAAGTTAAAGCTACTTCAGCATATCCAAAATAGGTAGAAAATCAGATAGATGTATGCAGATAAGGGTATTTAAATGCTTCAAAAACAAGAGTTGCTTTGTAAATTGCATTTTTTTAATTTACATAATTATTTTATGATAATAAACTATCTGAGTATCATTTTTTTAAATTTAAGGCCTACTATAAATTTAAAGCCATAAATCAAATTATTTTTAAGTATAAGTAGCATTAATCATTATTTATTCTAAAAATCCCAAAAGTTTCTGAAATTAATGAACCTACATTGAGTAAAATCTAGAATATGGTTTACAAAGAAATGAAGAGCGAATTATCGCAAAAAGGATATGATGAATTTAGATTTTTAGGGTAAGGAGCTCAAGGATTAGTCGTATTAGCAAAGGAAAAATCAACTAACAAGAGGTATGCTATCAAAGGAATTAATATTAAAGATTCAAAGGACAATGTTGATCAAGTTATTTTAGGTTAAGTTTAGCAAGAAATTAAAATGCTCAATTAATGCAAGGGCTCTCCTTATGTAGTCAATCTTCTACATTAGATAGAGGGAAATGATTTTATTTTCCTAGTTCTCACTGAATGTTTAGGTATAAATCATTACCTTCAAAAGCTATATGACATCCATCCATCTATTTATGTATGCATTAATTAAATGGAATATTTTGATAAAAAATAGGAACTCTGAATGAAATTATGAAGAATACCTAAAATGAAAGATTGAATGAGTTATCAGCTATTAAATACGCAAAGGATATTGCAGAGGGTCTTTACTTTATCCACTCTAAGAAAGGCTTAGTTAATGATCTGAAGATGGATAATATCCTAATTGATTACAATGGAAACGCAGTTGTTTGTATACCTTTATTAAGCTTAGATTAATATCATTCGAATAAATAAATAAATAAAATTAATTAGCTGACTTTGGATTAGCTTATAATCTCCCCTAATAATCTGGATATGCTATTGATGAATATGTAAAGTTCTTTTTACATCTCTAAAAAAAGAAATGAAGCTAGCTATAGTGCTTATTTATATTTATAATAATTAATTCATCCAAAGAAAGGAAACATTTTATGTCAAGCTCCAGAATGTTATGATTCCTCAAAATTTGATACTTACTCTAAGGAATACATAAAATTAGGAATAGCTGTAAAGAAATAACCAAGTCAAAGAGTATTTATTGATAAATCTTTATAATTATTTTCAAAATTTATTATGTTAATTTTAAGAGCGAAGCATGTTCTTTAGGTAATTTATTGAAATATACCATGAATCATTCATGAGATTATAAATTTCTCTCATTAAAATGCCTTTCTTGAATTAATAGGTTATTTGATATACACAATGATTTCAGGATTCTAAGCGAATTTGGTTTTTAGCAAGCACCAACCTTTGCAATATAATGCAGACTTCTAAAATTTCAATTATGAGAAATAACTTAGATACATAATTGATGGATTGACAAAATTCATTCCAAGAGAAAGGTTAAAGGTTAAAGAAGTTTTAATAATATTAAAAGGAATTGTTTCTTTAGAATTTGACTTAGACAGCAAATTTATTGAAGTAATCGATGATGCAGCAGCTCAGTAACACATCAGATAGTTTAGATAAGACATTGAATATGTTCAAGGTTTGGAGAATAAGTTTTACCCAATCATGTACTTTTTTAATTCTTTTTAACTAAATTAAATAAATATTTTTATAGTAAAAACGAAAAGGAATTAGCCTAATATCTCAATTCATAGATTGATGCTTAAAAATAAAAACATGTTGATTCTTTCTATTATTTAATATAAAATATTTGTTTATTCTTCTTGAATTTTTAATGAAAATTAGGAGGCAGTTATTAGTGAGTTATAATAAAAAATAAAGGAAATGTAACAAATAATCGATGATTTGTTAAATCAATAGGAGAAATAGGGAAATTAAAAATAGAATATTTAACCTTTTATTTCAAATTAATAAGCAAATTCTTAATAGGTTTTCTAGAAATAGCCAGAATTAGGTCATCAAGATTAAATCTAGAAGCAAAAAACAGAAAAAAAATAAGACATTCAGAATTATTAGCAAAATCAAGAGCAAATAAAGATTGATTAATAAGCTAGCAATTAATCTACCAAGTAATTTATTTATATTCATCAGCTTCTATGTATGAAGAAACAATAAAATACTTGATTTTTATGACTGGAAATAAAACTGGCAATTTTTATTACATCTTGAAAATTGAAATCTTAATTAAATAAGTTTAATTTAAAAAATAAAATAGCTTTTACCTGATGCAAAAAAAAAAAAAAAAACAAATAGCATTTATTTTTCAATTAATTCGCTATTCCTATTCAAGAATTAGTTATTTGTAATCTAAAAAAGGAAATTCTAAAGAATACTTTACAGTTATTATATTTAATCATTAATTAATTAATTAATTCAGCACTGAAATTTTTGTTTTGATAATTTAAAAGAGCTTACAATTTTTTTAAACGTTAAATTATTTTAAATTAGTGCCTAAAATTCTAAGATAAAAGTTTACTAAAAAGGCCATACTGTCCTTAAAGAATATTTTTTTGCTTAAATAATCTTTATTAGAAGAGTATTTTGATTTCTATTATTTATTAAATAGGAAGTATTTGACTCAATTATGATTATGGTTAATAAATTATTGATCCCTTTTTTGTAATAAATAATACAATACAGCAAGTACTTTCCAAACCTTTCTGATTATTTTTAAAATCTAATACTTATTCTTCATATACAAAAATAGAGGGTAATATTTTTACTTTTTGGTAATTATTCAAAATAAATGTTAATATTAATCTTTAAATATATAAATAAATAAATAGATAGTACGATTTTTTATTTTCTACTCATTTCAATGAATTAACTAATCACTTTCAAATTCAAAATAGCCTGTAAATTTTGAATAATTTTCACAGTTTAGTGCAATTTCTATTCAGATATGCTCAACTACCTTTATATATTAAAATAGATAGTATTTTATTACCTTTTATTTTAGATTTTAAATTCTCTAATATTTTTTAATAAAAGGGAGTAATTAATAAATACGATTCAAATCTTTTACTTAGAATCAAAGATGCTCAATTAATTAATTAATTTAAATATTCAAAAAGTGGGTAATAAATAAATATGATTGAAATATTTTACTTAGACTCTAAGATGCTCAATTAATTTAAATATTCAAAAAAGCTAGTAATAAATAAATATGATTGAAATATTTTACTTAGACTCTAAGATGCTCAATTAATTAATTTAAATATTCAAAAAAGTGGGTAATAAATAAATTTGATTGAAATATTTTAGTTAGACTCTAAGATGCTCAATTAATTTAAATATTCAAAAAAGGTGGTAATAAATAAATATGATTGAAATATTTTAGTTAGACTCTAAGATGGTCAATTAATTAATTACTTAAAAAATAAAAAATAGTTAGTAATATATATGATTAAAATAATTCGATTAATTTTTGATAAATAAATTTATATGAAAATAGCTGGTAAATAACTAAATAAATATATTGAAGGATTAAGATAATCAACTAATTTTGACATAAAAACAGGGTGTAATTAATTATTTAAAATAAAGATTTTTATGACAAATTGATGAACTATTTAACTAAAAATAAATAAAAAGTTAGTAAATTTTAGAAATTTAAAAGATTTAAATAAATGGATGAGGATTAATAATTTATTTAATAAAACATAAACAAAAGCGAGTAATTAATATTTTACAAAAAATTAGTTATAAAATAAAAATATTAAATTAATTAATTAATAAATAACTAAAATAAATTTAGCTGGTATTAATTACATTTCAATAAATTGATTTGATGAAAACAGAATGAAATAACTATATAAAATAATTAATTAATTAATCTATCATTTTTAAATTAAATTAGCAGGTAACAATTATTTTTCTAAAATATATGGTTTATTCATTCATTTATTTATTACAAACAATTTAAAAAAATAGGAAGTAATTTCATAAAATTTACTTGATTTTGAATATTTTGCTATAAGCTATTATTAAAATAAATGCAGGGAGTAATTTTAGTTTATTTTGTTGAGAAGATTCTGAATTAGCTTTAATTTGTTTAACAAATAGATGGTAAAATTTTCATACAATTTTTTATCAAAAAAGTTTACTCTAATTTAACATAAAATAGGATGTAATTAATTTTGGTTTGCAAAAAGTAGATTCTTATCAAACTTTAAATTGGAAATAGAGGGTACATTTAATCTTTCTTTCTTTATTCCTTGCTTACTTCTTTATTTATTTAATTGCTTAATTAATTTGATTTTGAAAATGTGTTCAATAAAAATATTAAATTAAAATGAATATCTAAAATAGAAAGTAATAAAAGATGATTATTGATTGATTTAAAAATATGTCTAAACAAACTATCATTAAAAAAGGATGTAAAAATAACTGAAACTGCAATAAAAGAAAACATAATTTAATTTTCAATATAGATGGTAATTTTTTTGAGTAGCTTTTGGTCAGATAATTAATACACAGTCTATAAATTTAAAATAAAATAGGGAGTAATTACTTATTTTGAGTTGATATAGATATTAAACAAATTTCATATTAAAATAGATAGTAAATGTTTTGAGATAGTTTCATTTAAAAAGTTAACTCTTTTGATTCTAATATAATAATGAACGAATAGATACATCACGTAAAATAATTGACTAATTTTATAGAAGAAGATTAAAAAACATATATTTTACTCATAGAAAGGAGTAATTAATATTTAAGGAAAATAAATTTAAATAAATGAATGAATGCTTAAAAATAGTCAGTAACATTTAACACATATTTAATTTAAAATTTAAATAATTTCAGAAACTATGGCTGATTTATTCTTTGATATAAATAAATGAATAGCTAGTAATAAATAAATACTAAATCACTTTTTATAAGAAGAACTTCAATCAACAAAAAAATGCTAAAAAATAGGAAGTAAAAAATTTTAGTTAATAAATAAATAAATAATTAAATATATTAATTTATTAATTAGTTAGTTAATCCAAATAAATTTTAAATATTTTTACTTCAACAATTATTTTTGCTTTAACTATTTTATTTTAAAATAGCATGTAAAATATTTGAGACAGTGCATTTATCATATGATTTTACAACAAAACGTTAAAATTAAATCTCTAAATAGGAAGTATTTAATTAAAGCTTATAAATTTATGATTTGATTAAATTACTGAAAAAGCATAAATAAATTAATAAAAATAGAATGTACCATAAATATTCTCAATTATTTTGCTTATCAAAGTTCTAATAAATATATTTAAATCAAAATATTAGGTAAATTTATTTTAGATTATTTAGTTTTTATTTATTATTTTACTATTTTTTCTTTCTAAAATAGTAAGTAATTTTTATCATTAAATTCTATCATAAAATCTTAAAATTTGTTGAATCTATCTATTTAACAGTCCATAATATTTGATTATTATTTATTATGAAAATATTCTTATTTATCTTTTATTAAAATAGAAAAGAGTAAAAGCTTAAAATTACCTAAATTAGTTTTTGTTTAATTGACTTTAATAATTTAAATAGCCTCCTGTAAAACTTTAATTTTTCTAATACTTAAATTAAAAAAACAATTTAAACTTTAAAAAGTGGAACGTAACTAATATAAATTTGACATATTTATATTGACTGTGACTCATTGATAAATAAATTTGAAATAGCTTTATGTAATAAAGTAGTTTGCTAGTTAGATCAAGAATATTGAAATAATTTAATTCTAAATTAGGTAAACATTTATTTGCTAACAGAAATAAATATGTTTATGATGAATAACTTTCATATTAAATAGCGGGTAATATTTTTATTTTATCTAATAATTTGGTTGTTAATTAATCTATTTTTATTTTTAAACAGAAAGTAATATTTAAAATAGCTTGCTAATTCTTATTTAGGTCTTAATAGCTTATTTAACTTTATAAAAAAATAAAATAAATAAATAGAGCGTATTCATTTTCTATTTATTTTTATGGAAGTTAAGTTATTCTTTTAATTTGAAAATAGCTCGTAATATCTTTGAAAGGTGCCACAAGAAATAATTAATTAATAAATTTGCTAAATTCTAAAAATAGATTGTAAAATAAAAATTTTACAAATAACCAAAAGAATTTAAAAAATAAATTTTATTATTTAAATAGATTGTAAGCATTCAATTTATTATAATTTATTAAAGATACTTAATAAATTTTTAATTATCAAAAAGGCAGTAATATTAATTAAACGCTTTTAAAGAAGAACATCTATACATATATACATACAACTTTATAATCCTATTAGTGGGTAGTCTTTTATTTAGAATCTATTCAAATATTTATTTAATACCAGGATCAATTAATTAATTTATTAATTAATTTTTTTATACAAAATAGAAAGTAAGTATCTTTTTTGAGTCAATTAAGTCTCGAAAATTCTTGATTGATTAACTTATTTATTTATTAATAAATTATTAACCTATCAATTAATTTTCTAAATCTTTCTAGGCAGTAAAATTTTGATTGGCTTCTAGTTGAGACATTTTAGTTAAACTTATTTATTTTCATAAATAGAGTGTAATTTACAAATTAACATTGAAGATTTCAGATTTCAACAAAAAAATTAATTTTGAATCGAAATAAATAGCTAGTCAGATTTTTAATTTTATACTTCCAAAAAAAAACATTTTCTTTTAAATAAAAAAAAGTCCGTAAAATTTTTGTAGAGTTATTCAAAGATAACTAATCAGTGCTAAAATTTAAAATAGATATGAGTAATATTATTAAATGGGTTTAAATAGAAGATAATAAATCAATATAAAAATAGCACAGAGTATTATTTTATTTGAGTTTTATTTATAAGATTCAAAATTAAATAAAGCAAACTAACTAAATCTAATATTCTAAACAGCAAAGAGTAATTAATATCTTTTAATTATTTTATATTAAAATAAAATATTAAGTTTATTTTATTAATATAAATAGTGAAATGTAATATTCTAAAAGATTTAAGATTAATTCAGATGCTCATATAACTGAATTTAATATTCATAAAGGAAGTAAAGATTATAAATAAATAAATAATTAAATTTTAGAGAGTACTAAAATGAATTTAATTTAAAAAAGGGAGTAATTATAAAATATTTAAGAGGACTTTTCATTAAAATAGCTAAAAATATATTAAAATTCAATAAGATTGTAAATTAATTTTTAGAAAAAATATTTAAGAAATATTTAATAAATTAAATTTAAATATAGCAAGTAAACAATAATGATTATTAAATAAGGAAGAATATCAAAACAAATAAACTATTTATTTATTTAAATATAAAGTTGGTAGGAATTTTTAAGGATTCACAACTTTGATAACCTATTTCTTAAATATTCTTAATTATTAGCGAGTAACTTTATAAGATATTTATTTAAACTATGATGGATGATTCATTTATGCAAACAAATAAAAAATATATTAAATAGGATGTAACATTTTTGATAAAATTTGAAGATGAATGAATTCTAAAACTATATTGATGATTTATTATAATAGCATGTAAGCTCAGCGAAAACTCGACTCTTATTGGAACTAAAATAAGGATTTTTATTTTAAAATTAAAAATAATTAATTAGTCTGTAAAAATTACATTTATTAATTAATTAAGAGAGACACAAAAAAAAAAAATGCAAATAAATACATTTCCATAAAATAAATAAATAGTGAGTATAAAAAATTAAATTTTCATCAAATTTAAAAAAGTTATTAAATTCAAACTTTAATAAAAAACAGCTGGTAACATTTGAAGATAGAGTCAATCAAATTCATTCATTCTATCTGATAATATAAAAGAGAGTAAGACTATTTATTTACTTTGAAAAATGTATTTATTTATTTACAAATTGAGTTAAGTAAACCCAACTAAAATCAGCAAATATAATTAATATTCAGAAATTTTTTTTTTTAAATTGTAGGTTTGTTTATTTCTTTTTAAATATAAAATTAAACAAATAAGTAAATTTTAAAGGCATAATTAAATTATTAAATAATAAAAAAAATTTAGTTAGAGAAGCAAACAGACAAGGGATGTGCTCTAAGAATCAACTTGATAACTTTTAGGATGAATCATATGATATGGATTAAATAGAGACACAACTTAATTTATAATGACATAAATATAAAAAAGTTATAATGTATAAAAAATATATGTAATAAATTAATATTCTTATGTATTTGTTTATTTATTTATTTATATATTTTTATATCTTGTAAACTTTATTTAACTAATTTTTTTTTTTTTTTAAATGCATTCAAACCATTTTCTATATTAAATTTGATTCTATTTAAATTTATCTGCTAATTCAAATAATATTTAAAATTAAAGAAGAAAAAAATTAATATATTTAAAATCTAGTTTATTGAAGTGTAGAAAAAATGTGTAGGAATAATTAAGAATATATATTATAAAATTTATTATTTATTTGAATAAAATTAAATAAAACAATATTTTATTTCTAATAAACTCATCATTCATTATTAATTAAATGTTTTTTTATCTAAATAAATCAATTATAAAATTAATATTTATTTTAAATCTATTTATTTAATTTTTAAAAATTAAAGTATGAAATAAATATTCAATCATTCATTTTTTAAATTTTTAGTTGCTTAATGATATTAATTTATTTATATTAGATTTTAATTAATTTTTACTCTTCTTTTAAATAAAATATTATAATGCTATTCCTGCATTTATAAATTATAAATATATTTTTTTTCTAAATCTTAACTATTTTCATAATTGTAAAAAATCATCATTTCAAAAATAATTTTGAGTGAGTTAATAACTTAAGGAATTAAGGTATAAAACTTAATTAAAAGATTTATTTTTAATTAAAAAATAAAAAATTATTTGAATTTACAAAAAGCTAATTCCCAGCTTTTAAAGTTGTAAGCACCTGCTCAAGCCTGCTGAGATATTAGATAATCCTTTATCGTTAATTTAATTTAGGCTTTTTTTAAAAAAAGATGATAATATCCTTTATTAAATTATTATACATTAAATGCTTGTTTTTTTTAATTTTTGATAATGTTAAAATTCTATTTATTCAATTTTAATTTAAAATGATCTAAAAGATTGTCATAAATTAAAAATGTTTAATTATACTATAAGGAGAGTTATAAATTTAGAAGATTCTTCAAATTTCCTAAGTTTAAACTTACTGTTTCGGCTCCTTCATCTCCAATTAAATTATTGCTTTTTTTAATACAAAAAACATTTATCATAATAAAGAATATCAAATTTTTTATTTATAACATTTTAATCAAATATATATTATTATGTATTTTATTATGGCCCTACATATTTTAAACTATTATTTTTAATTCTTTGTGGTAATTTAGTTAGAATAATTAATTTTTCACAAAATATAATTACAATTAAATAGATTGTGCCGCATACAAACGAAATTACAAATTAAATTCGTATAAATTATTTTCAAAAAATTATTTTTTTAATGTTAAAATAATAACAAATTTCAAATTAAAAACATGAATTATACAAAAATTTATTATGGGAATTAGTTTATTTACTTATTAAGTATTGAATGATTAATTATTTTAATTTATTAAGTAATATCAATAAGTTTCCTAATAGTATATAACTAATCTTTTAATTTTAAGTGCCTTTTACTTATGCTTGGTAATATAATTATCAGATTTTGACATACTAAATTTATTTAATTTTTGTTAATTACTAACAAAGAAAAAATAGAATAAAATAATTTGATTTAAATCAAGCATATCAAAATAGTTTAATAAATTAATTAATTAATGATTTTTAAAGATAATTTTTTTTTATTAAAATTGAATTACTCAAAGTTCAGAAACAAGATTTTTATGTTTTTGCAATCAAATATATCTTTTGATTTGAGCAGTTTATCATCAAAGCTAATAAAATAAAAATATTAGCATAAATTTTATTTAAAATAAAATTTTACTTAAACCAGTACTCGAAAAATGATAATTTCTTTAAGACTAAAAGACTTTAATCAATCATTTAATACCCTTGATCATAAATATTAGTGTCTCTTTAAATTTAATAATATTTATTTTATGAAGCAAATAAATAAATAAATAATAAATTAATATAAAAAACTAAATTTTATTTTCTATTTAATGAAGTTCTCAAATATTATTGCTAAAATTTTCAATTAAGCAACCCATTTTTAAAAGATAATAATTAATTAATCACTTAATTTTAATTAATAAATTTACAATAAGCTAAGAGTTAATTTTGTAATTTACGTGCACTAACTCAAACCTTCTGCAATACTAAATGCTCCTGCATTTCCAATATTATTTTAGCTGTTTGAGAATATAATAAATTAATTAATAAAATATTTAATATTAGCTAATAATAAATTAATCTCAAATAAATTTTTACTCTAGTATTAATTCTAAATCTGTTAGATTTTTCAAGTTACTTAAACCTTAGCCTATTGTATATGCTCCTTCTTCTCCTATTTAATTATTCCTTTTCCGATTATCAATTAAAATAAATTATATTGTAAATCACCATTTTAATAATAATTTTGAGTGAGTTAATAAATTAAGAAATTAAGGTAATAAACTTAATTAAAAGATTTATTTTTAATTTTTAAATAAAAAACTATTTGTATTTACAAAAAGCTAATTCCGAGCTTTTAAAGTTGTAAGCACCTGCTCAAGCCTGCTGAGATATTAGATATTCCTTTATCGTTAATTTAATTTAGGCTTTATTAGAGAAAAATGATAAATATCTTTTATAAAAATTATAAAACAAACATGAATGTCTATTTAAAAAATTATTGATAATATTAAAATTTATAAATTAAATTTAATTGAAAATGAGATAAAAAAGATTGTTATAAAAATAAAAAATATTTAAATATACTATAAGTAGAGTTATAAATTAATTAGATTCTTCCAATTTGCTAAGTTCAAACATATTGTTTAGGATCCTTCATCTCCAATTTAATTTTCTCTTTTTTAGTTCAAAAAACATTTTAAAAATCTTATCTTAAAAGAAATATCTAATTAATATTTGAAATTTATTTTATATCTTAATTTAATTTATGTTTTTATTTTATAAACTAAAAATAAAATAACAATTTTGTATGAATTTGTTTTACTTATTTGATAAAATCTCAATTTATATTGTTTTTTTTTAAAAAAAATTATAATATTATCAAATAATTTTTTAAAATTAAATAATAATTAACATTTTACCCAATCCAAATCTAGAGATATTAAATATTGCTCAAAGTATTTACAGCCTCTACTAGTTAATATACTCCATCTGATTGAATATTATTTTTGCTTAAAAGAATTATTAATAACAATTTATTTCTTTTAAATAATCAAGAAATTAATTTACTTTAGATTTAGTTTAAGTTTTGTTAATTTTTTACAGTTTCTTATGTATTAACCCAAATAAAAAGCTCCTTCATATGAAATATTATTCTATCTAATTTATTTATTAATTAAATGAAATATTTTATTTAAAATATTTAAAAAGAAATTTTACAAAAAATTATTTTTTTTCTACAAAAAGAAAAAAATGAATTTCAAAAGTATTTTTATTAAAATGACTAAAATATATGTTTTTTGAAATAAATTCTACCTAAAATTTAGTTTGAGTGCACTCAGATTTTTAAAATGAGGTAAATCTTCAAATAATAATTATATTTGACTGTTTGACATATTCTTACCACTATTTGAAAAATATTGATATTTAATAAATTAATTGAGTTTAGTTATATCTAAATTTTCATTAATATTTTTACTCTAAATTCAAGGTTAAAGACTTAATTTCACTA